CAGGAATTTCTCCTCAAACAGAATCTTTCTGTAATGAGCCCCTACTCACAAACAAGGAATTGCCCTGGAAACAAGACCAACCCCAGTTTTTTAAGAGTGGTTCACAGTACAGTGTTGGGATGACCACATTCCATATCCAGGTGAAAACTAAAATGGCCTTTTAAAAGAGTTTTTTTAATAAAAGCACAAAGAAGTTTTTGAAAAGAATGAGGAAATTCATGAGGGGTACCAAGTAGCAAAAAGCAAAAGCAGAGGGGGAAGCAGTGGCTGTGTTCCATCAGTAGCTCTAAAGCTTTTTGATAACACAGGAAAATGGCCTGTGTGATTCTATCATAAGCAAAGGCTCTGAAAGAACAGAATAAGAGAGGACATCTTTGCATGGAAAAATTGCTGCTAGAGAGTAAGAAAAAGGTCTCCTGAGAGGAGAGAGAGAACCAGCAGACTCCCGGAAAGATCAGTGCTTGGGCCTGTGACATGTCATGTGTGATCTGCAGAAGAGGTGTGTAGAGACAAGACAAAGTTTACCAATGGTACCAAGTTATTTGGGGCAATGAAATGAGGGCTGCTTTGTAGAAAGACCTCAAGTTGCTGATTGACTGAATGATCTAATAAGTGGTAAAATTTAGTGCAGATAAAAATCAGGCAATGCACACAGAAAAAAAAAAGATCCTAATCTTCTGTAACAACAGGTTCCGAGTTGAGTATTGCTGCTCAGGAGTAAGATCTTGAGGGTATGGTAAAATATCAATGCAGTGGCCAGTAGTGTTTGCTCAAAAAAGTAAGTTGTATGTTAGGAACTATAAGGATAGAATTAGGAAGTCATGCCACTGCGTACACCCTGAGTGCACCCATGTTTCTGTGCATTTCTAGTGTCCTCAGATGAGACAACTGGAAAAGGAAGAGAAGAGCAGTGAGATTAATAAAAGAGTGAAATGGCCACTGTAGGAAAAGCATCTGCAGGGACAGTAGTCTGGCAAAAAGAAAAAAAAAGATGCGGGGGGATGTGGAGGAGTGTTGTGGAGTGCTGTGAAATCAGGAGCTGAATGGAGAAGGTGAGCATGAAGCAGTTACTCGGTGTTTGTTCCAGTGGGAGAGCTCCCCATCCAGTGGAATTTTCCAAAGGCAGGTTCAGCGCAGGGAGGTGCTGCTGCCCTGCGCGTTGTGTCGCTGCGCTGTGGGACGCCTTCCTGCACGAGTCGTGAAAACCTGTGCGAGTTTAAAAAGTCAGGACAAGAAGGAAATGCCCTTGGAGGGTTATTAAATGCAAGATAATGCCTCTGGTTTAGGAAGTTGCTGAATCATAAATTGCTGGGCATTTTCTCACGTTTGTGTGACAGCATGCAGTAAAATGCACTGGGCTTGCTCCTTTCCCCAGGCGTCTGGATGGATCTGTGGTCTGACCTCGTGTAGCTGTTGTGTTCTAGCCATTGTAATAGGCCAGAGATGGTATTATGCAGTCCTGGGAATTGGTTACAGCTGACTTTTTACAAGCAAAGAAACAAAAGTCAAGCACCAAGTGATTTATTAAGTATTCTCAACAGGCAGAAGTGATGCACTCGATGACAACCTCTGCTGTGAAAATCCCGACTGCGTTTTGAACTCTGCATTTCACAGAGACCCATTTAAAACAAGTCCCCTTTTTATTTCAGGGCATTTTCTCACGTTTGTGTGACAGCATGCAGTAAAATGCACTGGGCTTGCTCCTTATCTACCTTTCTCCTACGGGATGGTGGGAGGTCTTGTGTGGGCACTGAAATGGCGACTGGACCAAAGTGGAGGGAGAGACGTGCTGTCCAGTCCTGGAAACGTCGTCTTTGCACGAGGCTGTACTGTCCGCCGTGCTTCTGCAGGGCTTGCTTAAAGCCCTCCGGTGCGTGTTCGGTGGGCTTTCCTGAGAACACAGTTTGCTCAAAGGAATGCAGAAAGCGGTGAAAATGTCTTAACATGACTCACCACGCCCTCCACATAGGGCAGCTACCTCTGGTGCATCATTACAAAAAGGTATAAATACAAAAAACAGGTTTGACGAAGCAGACAAGGATCTGTTAGAGGTGAAGGGCAGGAGAATGAGAGTGCTGTCTCCCCTGTTATAAAATAGTGGCCTGGAATGGTTGTGGGATGTAACTGCTGAAGTGAATGTAAGCAGTTGCTTGTTTCTTTGGCTAAAAGTGGAGGAGAAGGGGCTAGTGGAAGGTATTTAAGACAAGGAGGACAAGATCACGGATGTTGGGAGGGCTTTGGATAGCACGGAAAACAAATCAAGCATCCTTTTCCCCTCCTCTCCCCTTCCTTGCAAGTGACGCCGTAGCGAACGCAGAGCCTCTCCGAGGCAAAGCTCGTGATCTGGTTTTCCTGCCGAGCTGGGGCTGAAGGAATTTGCGAGAGTGCTTTATTGAGAGCATCTGCGCGGCTGCTTTCCCCTGGCAGGCGCTGTGCGCAGCCCGGCCGTGGTTCGAGCTGCAGGCGGCTGGGACAGCTTTCAGACGGATGGAGGTGAAATGAGGCTCCCTGCGAACTGCGGGTGTTGGGAGTTACCTGCCTGCAGCAACGCTTTCCCGCTGCTGCTGAGCAAGGGGGCTGGGGTTTCTCTTTGTAACCTCTCTATGCACAGCAAGAACAGCAAAAGGCTCACACAGAAAACCGCTTCTGAAGAGACCTTGCCATCACACGCGCTCCCTCGCCAGCCTTGGCGCAGTCCCAGCATTGTCCCGGCGAGCCGGGAGGCGGGACCCCCGTCCCGACCCCGCGGAGCGTTGAGGGCGCAGGTGGTCAGCCTGTAGCGCCCAGCAAGTGTGGCACTGAAATGGGACGAGCCACCAAGGGCTGGCAGGCACAGGAGCCACCTCCACGTGAGAAGGGCCGCTGCTGTTTGCCCCGGGAGGAGACGATTCCTGCCCGACGGCGTGGGGCAGCCGTGCTCTCCGGGCAGAGGCTCTCCGCTCGCTTCTGCCCCGTGCCGAGCCCTCGCCTCCTGGCCTGGTAGCACGTAAGCCTGCACGCAGCCCTCCAGTCCTCCCGACCTCTCCGTGCGTGTGCGCGTTCCCCTCCTCTCCCTCTTTGCTTTATTTCCTTTGAAATGTGTTCTTCAGTGTGTTTTCTTGATGGAAATTTTTTTTGAGAGACAGGGCAGAATGAACTTTGGTGCATGTTCAACAGTAATAAAGATAAGAATTAGCAGGGACTTTGAACGTAAACGAGACAAGATAAAAAGCTATTGAATGTAGTTCAGCAGCATGCCGAAGCAGATCAAGATGTTATTTACAACGCAATACTGTGTTTTCCTTTGAGTAACAAGGAACAATAACGGCTGCTTCATTTTGTGTTGTTTTTCTGATGCACCAAGACCCCAGAACACTGACAGAAAATGTAATAATTAGGACCAAAATACACAATGTTTTAGTCCAGGCTGCTGGGCTGTTGGCTTCGTCTTGGGTTTTGTTTAGACATTTCAGCAGGCGTTGGCTTTGAAACAAGCATAAATTGTCATAAAAACAGAAGTTGTATTTTCTGCCTGTCATGATTATAAAACAGTTTCATTCTCCATACACGTTTTGTTATTGAACCCAGAGATGCAGACTCTGAACTGAACATGTACAAGGGAGAAAATGATACCGAGGTGTTTCACACGTCGCATTTTGAGATGTTGGAGTAGGAGCGGGTCGTGGTTAGGAACCACCGACGCGGGGAGCACTCACGTGGCGCTGGGGGCCGAGCCGTGGGCTGTAAACACGCTGTGGGCGCTCAGTCCTGCAGCATCGCAGGGGGAAGGCGGCAGTGCTGGGCGCTGAGCGTCATCGCCGCGCTGTGGGTGCAGCAGCGGGCCCGAGCATGGGGTGGAACGAAACAAGGTCTGATGTTCAGGCCTCCAAATAAAGGAGGCAAGAAGCCAAAGGGAGACCAGTGCGCATGCAAGAGAAGAGCGGGTGGAAGCCTGCGGCTTGCAAAGGATTTATAAATAGTGGAGCAGGGGCTGAGCAAGGAAGCAGTCACATCTGAATAATGGCCTTTTGCCATGCTGGGCCCTTTTTCTGCCTCTTCCCTCCTTCCGCAGCGCGAGCTCTTGGACCACAGGGACAGAAGTTGCTGAGGATGCACTGGCTGCATCTCTCCCTCCCAGTCTGTTCCTGCTGGATTCCAGAATGCCGCGGGTTATTTTGTGCCATGTCAATCTGTGTGCTGCTGCATTTTCCAGTTCCTTCAGATAAGACAGCAGTGAGAGCTGAGAGTGCTTCAGCTGCGTATTTTTTTCCTGCCTCGTCTCGCTGCGGTGCTTGGTGCTGAGACGGGCTGGCCCCACGGTGCGGGTCAGCCCTCCCCGCCTCACAGCAGCCGGTCTGGGTGCTGGATCCCGTGGTGGAGTGAGCATTGCCTGCAGAGCCAAAGGCATTCCAGTAATCTGTGGTGCTCCCTTTCCCTTCTGGCAGCCAGGCAAGACCTTTCTTCTCCAACAGAGAAGACTTCTTGTCAGGTCCTCTCTGGGGACACCACGAGCGCTGCATCGTGTCGCGTGTGTCATGAAGATACGAAACTGTCCGAGTGCAGCGAGCGCGTGCAGCTGTGGCAGATCCCAGCTCTCATTCGGCTGTATCCAGGTTCAGCTGGAGGAAGGACTGTCTGTCCGCATCTCTTGCGTTAGGCCTGGCTCTTTGCTTATATTTGCATGAGAATTTGCCTTTCTCTGGACTGTGAAGCTGGCTTGTACAGATGAGGATTTTAGGGAAATCGGGAGGGTGGGAAGTGAAATGCAAGCTGAGTCTGTGTTTCAGCCACTCTGCTGGTGGGTTGTTTTCTGTTTGTTTGGGGTTTTTTTAAGTGGATTTGCTAAGCTCGTTTCCCTTCTGATTTGCATAGCTAATATGACTGTCCTGCTTTTCATGTAGCAATTCCTATTTTTCCTTTATGGCCACCTGCGACACAACTCTAATTACACAGTGAAGCTGCAGCACAAGGTGCTAAAGTCGTACGGGTTATGAAGGAGCCAGGACGTGGCGTCGGGTTCGGTGCCCTCGGACACAGTCTCTGGTCCTCTCTCCCCATCCTCCTTCAGTGTTGCGCCAACGTCGCTGCATTTGTCCCGCGAGGGGGATAGTCCCTGTGTAACGTAGCAGCACAGAGCAGGGAGTGACTTGCTTCAGGCCAGGCGGGCAGTCAGTCGCTGGGAAAATATGACCCAATTTAGATCCCTGGCAAGATCATCCTTTCCTCTCCCCGCTGCAGTTTGCTTCTCATAAAATGAAGCTATCGGCTTCACCGAGGTGTTAGGAGGTGCCGTAAGTTAATGCTGATGAGGGGCATGGCGTAGAGGTGGCACAGGCTAAGGCTAACCGTGAGCAACAGCTTCCGAGAAGGGCGATCAGATACCAGGCCGTTAGCAAACACGGCGTGTGTCAGGTCTGTCTGGCGAGCAGAGCTGAAGGCAGAGCTCTGATGCAGTGCTCGGCTCGCGAGGGACGTGGCGTGAAGAGAGACGTCTGCCGGAGAGCCCGGCGACACAGCTTGCCGAGGAGGAAGGGCTGGGAGGAGCCCGCTTGTAACAAATACAGGAAATGAGGTCAGCGTAAACCACAAGTTCTCTATTGTCTTAGCTTCAGATAATTTACAGCACCAGAGGTAAGGAAGCTGAACAAATGCCAGTGCGTTTGCAAGATGAAGTTGAATTTGAAGCTAAAATCCTATAATACTTTGCCACTTGAAATGAAAAGTTAAGCTCCATCAAGAAGTTGCTATGAGCATGGAAAGGAGCTGTGGGTGTGTGGGTGCTTCTGCGAAGGACAATTGCTCACGAAACAAGAATGAGCTGTTTTAGGAATTCCCCAACTTTTAGCAAGTAGGCAAATCTCTGGGTGGCTGACTGCTGTCCCCCTGCTTGCCCCCCAACTGCCCTTGGATTGTGCAGGTTTCAGAGTTACCCCTGCAGAGCGTTGCTTTCATGGAGCGAGAGGCAGCAGCCAGGTGACCTTGAGTTACGATCCACGCCATCCAGTTCTTCCGAGAGATGCCTGTTTGCTGCGGATGTGTCAAAATGGCAAATGCTCCAGAAATCTGGAAAAACAGTGGAAAAATTCTGCAGAGTTCCTTATAAAATATATATGCAGCTCTGCGTACGACATGGTGCAGATGCAGAAGAATGCCTGCAGCTGAGCTGTTCCAGAGTTTCTGCTGTGATAGATCAAATGTAGAGACAAAATTCTGGGGCAGAAATGGCACTGCCTCGTTTGAATCACAGCGGGATGCAAGCAGACGGTTGCGTGTCGGGGTTTTTAGTTTTTTGGGCTAACCTGAGGTCCGTGGAAGCCAATGATCAGGGAGCTCCCTTTCTTCAGCTTGCAAAGATTCAGACGCTGTCCGGTTAGTAGCAGCCTAACAAGTCACTAAACGTAGAACCGCAGCGACTGACTTTGGACGTGCTCGAGGTTTATAGGAAACACGAAGGTGAAGTCGTTTACCTGAAACCTCTCCGCCTGACGTTAACGTGTTACTGGTGTCTGAGCTTGTCGAAAGGCGGTAACTCGGCCTTACCGTAGGTTTGTGCGTACGGCGAGCGCGCGGGTTCAGCTCCAGGTAGAGTTCCGAGTCGGACCTGCTCTGCTGACAGTCCCCGCTGAGGAATTGTGCCCTGAGCTCTGACGGCCTCCCTGGGGGCTTTGGTGTGGGTTGATCCTGCACTTCAGATAAGGAATTGCTGTGCTTGATTCCAGGATATGGGAGTTTTATCCTTTCATTAGAAACAGCGCCTGTCAGTACAACTCCAGGATGCTTGGCTTAGTGATGCCTTACGTAGGAATGCAGAAAATGCTAAATAATTTAAAGATACTCTATAAATACTTTCATGTGGTGATGAAATCCAAGTCTGACTAATCAGATGAGCCTTATGCTTAACAAAACAATTCTCTGGTGAGCCATCGCTGTAGGACACTGCAATTGCTGTGGAAAAAACCCACTTCTAGCAACTGACAACAAGCAGAAACTGTGACTTGGAGGGAGAGCACCCATCCCTCCAGTAACCAGGTCTAAAGCTGGTAGACCTGCCAAGTCCCAAACAACATCTTTCCTGTGGTGGAGGGAGGTTACAGCAGAAGATATCACGCTAATCTAAAAGACCTTCTTAGCCTGTGATTTGACAACTGGATGGCTGCAGTCTCCTGGCTGTGCACCTCTGGTGTGGGCAGGCCAAATACTCATCTGCTTGTCCGCGAGTTCAGGCTGAAGTTTCAGAAGGAATATCTCCTGGCTGTGCACCTCTGGTGTGAGCAGGCCAAATACTCATCTGCTTGTCTGCGAGTTCAGGCTGAAGTTTCAGAAGGAATTTATTTAAGAGCAGTCTCCAACTTTTACTTTTTCAGACCAAAACAGCATGTTTGTGCAGTCATGTTGATGTCAACGTTTTGTTCCATAGAGGATCCAGGTAATGCAGGCTCTAGATTAAAGGTGAAAAATAAGGAAAGCCAAGGAAAGGAAGATCACACTAAACAATTTCGTAAGCCTTGAAAAGCTTCCTGTGAATTTGGGTCAGCATTTGGATTGGGGCCTGTTTTTTTCAGGTTTAGTTCGTCTCATTCTTCTTTCACCCCCATCTGTTCTGTTTCTTTTGCAGTGCCAGAAGCTCCGAGAGGTTTTTAACTTGGATTACCCTCACAGCACCTTCCTGCTTAAGACTCTGACTGTTGTATCTGGCCCGGACATGGTGGACCTCACTTTCCACAACTTTGTGTCCTACAAGGAGAATGTTGGCAAGGTATCGGGTCCTGAGGGCAAGGAAGCACTGGGAAATACTAACGACTGGGGCAGTAAGGGGGGAGCAGGAAAGGAGAGGGGAAGGCAGGGAACCTGAACCCTGTCTGTGTTACTGGCAGGGTTATAAACAAGCAGGTTTAGATTCCAGTAAGGTGTGGTACCTTCAGTTTTAGAAATTTCTGCCTCTGCATGGAAAAGGACCAGTTGAAGAAATTTAGTATTTTATTTCTGTCCTTCGTGTGCTTTGTATGGATAAACAGACAGCTGGGAAGACTCAGTGGCAAAGTTTCACCTCCTAGTGTATATATAGGCAGTAGGAAGGTGATACAGCCAAGCCCAGGGCGCAGTTGTTGGGATTTGTAGCCCAGTAGCATCAGGACAAGTCCATGCCCTTTTAGCGTGTGTTGCTGTGTACTTCTTGGTGCAGTTCCAACTGCCTCTGCCTTGTGTGTTTGTTCCCAGAGCTGGGCTGAGGATATTATGGCCATCGTTCGGAATCCCCTCACGTACAACGCTTCTCGGTACACCTTCCTGGAGAAAATGTAAGTGGTTTCTGACAAACGTTGTTCTGTGAAACCTTCACGTTCTGCCCTGTCTGTCTGTACTAGAAAGAAAAGACTTCTCAGCGTCCAGGTCCTTTGGCAGCCTCCAAAACAAGTCCTGTGGCAGCTCAGGAGCCTCAGGGCACGGGTTGGTGGTTGGGCCATATGTTGCATGACAACTGACTGGTACAGAAGTGCTTGAGCCAGTCAAACGCACAGGTGGTATTGGATAAACCAGGATTCTGAGCCTCAAACGTGTCTCCTGCTGCAGTCGCAGCACTTGCCCCAACCAAGTGCTGCCTCTTTTTCTTGGCTCTGTAATGCTGTTTGGTTGGCAACGTGGGATCACTGGAGAACACTAAATAATAGGCGATGTCGTTATCTCATGTCTGTATCATAGGTTTCAGAGGAATCTTTCTGATATCTAAGCTGTTATCATTTCCCTGTTTGTCCTTCCCAAGAAATAGGAACAGGTTCGGTCTGAGGTTCAGCTGACCGTCTGTAGGACCCTGGTTTTCAGTTAACTGTTGGATTGCTTTCCCAACTGCATATTTTTTTCTTTGTCCTTACTTAATAGGACCTCTAAGATTGTACAAGCGCATTTTCATAATCTTGGCTTTTTTCACAGCCTGGTGAAGCTGAAGATGCAGCTTAATGCAGAGGGAAAGATTCCTGTCAGGAAGTGAGTATGGCTGTTTGGTTTATTGTGTGTGTTTGGTGGGACCAAAGGCAGGGCAGCTGGTGAGAGGGTGGTTGCCCAGTGGCTTCAGCTGCCTGCTCTTTCTGCATCTGAGAGGTAGAGAGCATTCCCTCTGGATTCAGGCCATGAGAGGATGCATGCTGCACCTAGGCTCCTCCCGAGGAAAGGCCTGGGACATAATTTGGGTCTGGAAAGGAGACCTTTTGTGGCCTTCATCTGCAGCAAGAAATTGCTTTAAACAGCCGTGCATTTCACTCCCTGGCTGTTGCCAGGAAATAACCAACAAAACCAAGCAACTTCAGTAAAAATCTGATCATGGATTGTTTTGCAAACCTGAGGTGAACGGTGGATGAGGTGCAGGACTCATTTTACCTTTTGTATAAGGAGTTCTGTATTTGGAGAACTTTTTGCTTGACACTCCAGCTAGCCTGAAGTAGGGGTCCGTTGCTCTCGCTTGTCTCCTTTCTTATGTGTGACCACTACAGCCCTTCTCCGCTGGTGTAATGCTGCTGCCCTCAGTCTTGACTCTGGATGTGCATGAGCAGGAACCAGCCTTTGAGGACAGGCCTCTGGGTCAGTGTTGAGGGTGGTTCAAGTACAGAGCAGTGGAGGTGAGTGCTTTGCTGTCCCCAGGGCTGGCTTTGTGTGCCAGGGTAGGACTGCCATTAGAATAAGCCAAGGCTGCTTTGCTGAAGCAAAGACCAGCCTGCTACTTCTCCCCTGCACCAACAGGCACAAATCTAGAATTGATTTTGTGCCACTCGGTGTCTTCCCTAGTAGAATCACTCCATGGCTGATCCTGTGGCTCCTCCATGCTGATTCAGCTCACAGAGTGACAAAAGGCTGCGCTGCCCTGTCGAATTCCCTTTGGGGTGCATAAATTATCTTTTGTTTTAAGAACAAGGACCTGCAGATAGTGCATTTGTGGGTGTGCACTGGGAAGTCTGAACCACTCTGCTGCTAGGTTTGTGCTGTGTTACAGCGTCACAACAGGCAAGCGCTAATTACCTGTAATAAATACGCTGCCTGCTGCGTGTTATATTGCCTAACGATTCTGGATTAAGTCTGTGCTGGCTAAATGGGCTCCTGGATGGTTGATCGTTGTTCAACAATAAACATTTTTTGTTGTTTGTTTTCTAAACCACCAACCAGCAGGATTTCATTCTGTCAGAAACCAGTGTATTCATCAAAGGCCTTTTGAAAACGCGTAGGTCTTTACTGAATAACTCACACTAGGGAGGAGTACTTTGAATTGATCTTTAAAATGCAAGCAAAGCAGCATTACTGCAGGGAGAAAACAGCTTATTCTTCTGAAATAAGCTAGAAAATATATCTGGTGCAAGCTGTACTGCTCTTCAGCACCCTGGTCTGTCTGTCCAGGTAAAAGTGCTTTAAAGCATTAGACAATTGAATAGTCGAGATTGAGAGCCAGATTTGTAAAAATATTCAGTGTCTCCAGGTGCAGGTGTATGTAAGGCTTTCAAAACTCCGTGTCTGAGTTCTTGTGTAAATTCCAGTGAGCATCTGCCTTTCTCTGTAGACATTTAAATCCCTTTTGAATCATGACAAGGGTGCTGCAGTTTTTGCCTTGCAAAGGGCAGCTTGGGAGCCAGCGTGCGCGGAGTTTGCAGACGCCCACTGCGGCTCCCGCTGGACGCTTTGCCACCTGTCGACACATTTGGTGCTTTTTGTTCCCCTGTTTGGCTGTGGGCACCTGTGATGCCAGGAGCTTAATAGAGCCAACATCTAAATTTATCCACGGAGGAGGCCTCACTGCTGCTGGCTGGGATGTTCTGAAAGTAGGGAGAGTTCAGGTACTGGTACTGTTCCTTAGTGCAGCGGAGAGGCTGCTTTCAGCTGAAGGCTTGACCAAGTGAATTCTGTTTGTTTGCTTTTTTGAATGTTGTCTTGACTACAAAGTTACTGCTTGCTAATGCCAGCTACCGCACGGGGTAGTGTCTTGTGCGGGGCAGGGTCCTGGGGCATTTGCAACACGAGGCCTGCGACTGCAGGGGCACCTCCGAGAGGGGCAGGGGAAGGACAGCGAAGGGGGATTGTGAGAGTAAGCTGACACAGTTTAGTGACAGGGCTTTACAGAGTCCACAGCAGAAATCTAGAACTTCTGTATTACGGCAGCAGTCAGAAAATCCACTGTAGGTTTACAAGACTCGGTACATCAGTCACTCCCTTGGAGAAACACTGTCTGTCTTCTCTGGTTCACGTTTACAGTCTTCTGTCAGTCTCCTTCGCGTGCATTTTGAGCATCTTGCACTCTGGCTGCAGCTCCCAGCCACCCAAACCCTTCACTCCTGTGACATTGTGGTGATTTCTTTCTTCCCTGTGTGATCAGTATTTTTCAGATGTTTCCTGCAGACAGGAAGAGGGTGGAAGCAGCCTTAAGCGCTTGTCATCTTCCGAAGGGCAAGGTAAGGGTTTTGCTAGGTAGCCAAAGGTCTCACCAGTTTGAGAATAATCTTTTTGCCTACCCTGACTGTGATGCCCTTGGCTATGAAAAAATCATCAGCCCAGTTGCTCTCAGCTGCTCTGAAACCTTTTCCTTGCCCTAGCTGCCATGCCTTAACGGCAGGCCTGCTAGGATCAGTTCCTAGTGACTGCACTGCAGTAACACTTGCGACTCTGTCGCTTGCACCGTGTGGCACAAGCAGCAGCACGTTCCCTTCTGCCTGTTTCGCTGTCTGCTCTTTGAAGCAACAGCTCTGACGGTTAATCTTGGCGCTTCTGCCAACCCGCAGAGCACCGTCCAGGCCCCTGACAGCTCCTGCTGCTGCACCATGCGTTAGCTTTATACCATCACACCGAGGGACACTTTAAATAACTGTCCGTTCTGAAACAGGGCATCGTGGTGCCCCTCTGCTCCGTCTGTTCTTTCCCAAACACGCTGCCAGGTGTTCTAGTCGCTTGCTTGCATTGTCACAAACAAGTGCTGGACTGTGGGTGTTACTAGAGAGGTCAAAGCCATCGTGGGTTTGTGATCTGTCTCTGTTGCATTCTCAGAACGATGCCATCAACCCAGAGGACTTCCCTGAGACAGTGTATAAAACTTTCCTCATGAATCTGTGTCCACGGCCCGAGATTGATGAGATCTTTACCTCACAGTAAGTTTCCCTCAAGCCACAGCAGAGAACTTGATCTCTTGTGGCAAAAGCCAGGCAAAAAGGAGGGGTGAGGGGGTTTTATGCTACAGGGTTTGTCTGGTCTCAAGCCTTAGAAGGGCAGATATCCAGGTCACAAAACAGTGCCAGTGCACTTAACACTTTCACTCACAGCGTGAATAAAAAGGATGAGACCTCGCTGTGCTGCAGGGACTCTTAGCTGTCACCATCAGGAGGCTCGATTCCAGGTCAGCACTAGATCACGCTGATGGGGTACTGCTTGTGGCTAGCCTGAAACAGGGCCGGGTACAGCATGAGAACCGTAGGTCCTCACAAGTAGCCAGTGACTTTTTTTTTTCCAAGCAGCTAAATCTGTGACTTCTGAAATGGACTTGACTTCATAGGGCAAGCACTTCAGCGTGCTCTGACATTCAAGGCCCTTTGGAGTTTGAGTCAGAGGCTCCAAATACGCTTTGTGCCCCTCAGCACCACCTCTTCACAGTAATGAATTAGTGAGGAGGAAGTGGGAAGCACCATTTATGGGAAGAAATGTAACCAAAACAGCAATTTGTGGGCCCAGGGAGGTGGACACCCATTGCTAACCTGAGGAAGGACTGATCTTGTTTGTGAAAAGGTTTTCTGGGTAATACACAGGCCTTAACCTCTGCTTCTCTGTAATTCTCTCGCCGTAGCCATTTAAAAGCAAAGCCCTGTAGGACCAAAGAGCACTTGGCAAAGTTTATCAACAAGAAGCAGCGAGACTCTCGCCTCAATGACATCCTTTTCCCACCAGCCAAACCTGAGCAGGTGCAGAGCCTCATAGAGAAGTACGAGCCCAGTGGGATTAACATCCAGAGAGGTGAGTCTTGCTCAGCCCAGAAGTCTTGCTATAGAGGTAGTATGAAAATAGCAGAGGATCTTGCACCTTCTGCTATCCTGGCTTTCCCAGGGGGGCCATCAGCCCGATTCTCACAAGCCCCTGTGTTTCAGTGCATCAGCAAGGGGGTGCCAGGACCGTTTTGTTTCGGTGCTATGAACAGCTTTCTTTTCCATGTAGGGCAGCTGTCTCCAGAGGGGATGGTCTGGTTTCTCTGTGGCCCTGAGAACAATGTGATAGCCCTGGACAAGTTGGTGCTGTACCAGGACATGACCCAGCCGCTCTCACACTACTTCATCAATTCGTCACACAACACGTATTTAACAGGTATGGGCCGTTCCAGGGTCTGCCTCAGCTCCAAGGCGTGTTCCCACCACCAGGCATGGATGAACGGTGCTGACAATCCGTTGGGCAGATGTGTCTGCCCTGAAGTTTGCAGGGCTGAGGGCTCTAATGAGCTCTGAGGGGCCTGGCACTGAAGTGCCATGTAAGGAGAAGAAATGTTACCCTGTAACTGAAAACATCTTGTCAGTCTGCCACGTACGCTTGCTCAAGGATGGCAGAGAGTTCTGTTGCTCCAGTTTACGCAGAAACTGTCCCATGTGAATAGCTAATGTCGAGCCTCTGTCCTTCTGCTCTCCTCCAGCTGGTCAGTTTTCTGGTATCTCGTCTCCTGAAATGTATCGCCAGACGCTGCTGGCTGGCTGGCGC